TCAAATTGAGTACATCTGTGGAAAGTGATGATGGAAAAGCTCCATATCAGCAGCCAAAACAAGGTTAGGAGCAGATTGTGGAACAGACCACCGATTGCTGATATGCATATCCAAACTGAAGCTGAAGAAAATGAAAACAAGGCCACGAGAACCAAAATATGACCTTGAATATATCCCATCTGAAGAACTTGGTAGAATTCTTCAATTTTATCATCACTGGCTTTAGTGGTTGGTGCATAAATTTGAATAATAGCACCTCCTTGTAGGTGTATGGATATTATCCTATAATAGACAACATTGTACTTCAAGACAGATCTTGATATGTGCTTTCTGATGATGAATGTGATGCTATTCCTTTTCAATTTGTCATTCCCAGCATAGCAAACCATGTGATTATCAGATGCAAAATGCCAATACCAATCCATTTCAGCTCACTAATGCTTAGGGTATCGATGTTTAAGTGTTTCATTTCATTTTTGACATTTCCTACTTTCCTAGATTCATACTTTGTACTTTCCATGCTCCGATTATTACTGGATGTTTACAGCTGTTTCTCTTCGTTTTGAGTTGTGCCTCATCAGCAAGTAAGGTCCTGAAGGCTTTATTCCATTCACATCATCATGGTGAACTCTACTTTAAGGAGGAAGCTCTTCCCCAGTGGTACTGAAGGAAGAAATCCAAGGTGCATGGAAGGCATTGGCAAAGGACAAGAATCATAGATTTGATGGAATACTAATTGAAATCTTTCAACAAACTAATGTGTTACTGGAGGCACTCACTCATCTATGCCAATAAATTTGAAAGACAGCTACCTGGCCAAGTAATTGGAAGAGATTCATATTTGTGCCCATCCCAAAGAGAGGCATATGCATAAGAACACCCACACTTGCAGATAATACCCACTTATCCTGGCTTCAGTGACTGGATGATCAGAGCTCAACCATAAGTAAAAAGAAGAAAAAAAAAGTATTCTCATACAATTTGATGAACTTGACCTACACCTATGGAAGCAGTAGCTCAAAAGAGCGAACAAGTCCTTACAGCAAGAATCATTCCCACACCCTCCACACACAGAGTAGACAGGGATGGGCAACTTGGACATTGACTACCCAAAATGGGGGGCGGGGGGCTACAAAGGCAAGAA